CACACACACACACACACACACACACACACACACACACACACACACACACCTTCCACAGAAATGTCTTGAATGGCGAAGCGGAGGATTATGGTCCATATCATTCCCAGGGTCATCTTAGCGTTGCCATCTACGATCTCTGAAAGAAGGGCAAAGCAATAACAATTATATTTCAGGATTTACATATTTATCATCCACTCATAATCTATATTTTCCACATCTTTCTCGACATGTCTAGAAGCATTGATTTGGTCATTTCAAGGTAAAAAGCTGTCTAGATGTGTTGAAACTGGGCTAAGTATGGTTGAAAGTTGAAAGAATTTTGTCCATGCTGATGCACAAAAATGGCCACGGAACAAGGAACAACCTTTGGAAAGCAAATGACTGTCAGACATCTTTTCTAAAATTACTGCCATGTATTTTAAAACAGTATGCTGTGTTTTTTTGAACACCTTTCCCAGGCCTTTCAGGTCAGGAAACTCAACATGATATCCTGCAATCATATATTATATTATTTTCCATACAGGCTCAGATTAGCTCACAGTGCTTCTTAAAGCTGAAACACTGAAGCTCTAATGAAGGAAACTTGTGACAATTTAGTTCAATAATTACAGCCTGGACTTGTGGGGCTGTCAATCAGTTGGTGGCTGTGAATGAAGTGCCTCTGTCCAGCCCTTTTTGTCAATAATGAAAATCCCTCTCAACAGGTTACCCTGTTTGACCTCCTTGAATAATTATTTGTTTCTCCCTGTAATCCAATAAGGAGCAGGGCACGAGCTCCACCGCCGCCCGACTGTGACGGACAAACTCGGACTGCGAGATGTCAGTCCGATGCATGCACATGTAACGCGGTGTGAAAGACGGCTCGGATCGAATTAGGGAGGCAGAAAAAGTCGGGCTGTGTTGTTCGAGCTAACACACGCTGATAAATGCTGAGATTAGTCCTAATGAACATGACTGATCAACATGGGGGAGGAACACAAATCCTGTTAATTCCCTTTGAATGCAACCCCCAACCCCGCTCCTTCATCCTTCACCCACAACAAACCCCCTCCGATGAGTCGCACGGATCTGACCCTTCAACTAGCCCCATCCTGACACCACAGCGAGCAGCGAGCTGGGCCGCTCCACCAGGAGGCTAATCTGTCTGGAATGCCGGTCTGGTTTAGGAGCTTTTATACCGGCCTCTGTGCACTGCAAAACAAATCTCCATCTTATCGAGAACTTTTTGTCCTTTTTGGAGCCAAAATAATTTTGTTTTCTTAAAACAAGAATAATAAAAGGATTATCTTATCTTATAAGAACTTTGCCTTAATTAAATGTCTAAAATGGGCAAAATGATGGGTTTGATGATCAAAGTAAATAATATTGTTTTAAGTTGCAGAGCAATGAGGCAAAGCTCTGGTCGGAGGAGGAGACGCTGCTGCTCCCGGGTGCCGAGCTCTCCTCCTCTTGCTGGAGCTTCCGACTGCAGGTCGAAGGCGGCAGCGCAGCCGGATCTTCTCGCTGATGGGCTCTTTTACTTACGTACATCGTATTGAGGCATCGGTATTAAATTGAGACCGTTTTATAACCAGTTAACACTTCCTCATAGTAACTTTAATAACAGACAACATTGACTTGATCGATAGATATTTGTGCCGTGTGGGCGTTTAAACCCAACTGCATAGAGCAGGCAGGGGGAGAACCGCGAGGTAAAATATGTGAAATCGTTATTTTATCGATCCACGTTTCATGAAGATGTAACAGGATTAAGCAATAGTCAGCTGATTTTTTTTCAGTTACAGTTTAGGGTTTGTTAATGAAACATTTAGTTATTTCAACATGTTTGTGTGAGACAGTGAAAGACACAGAAAAAGCTTCTGAGGAGAAAGGGTTGAACATTGGGGTTACAGAGGTCAAAGGTCAACCTTTTAGGTGTGTTTAACATGGATTTGATTAATTTACAAGGGATCATATTCTTTAAAGGGTCAGTTCACCAAAAATTTCAACATAACATATTTTTCGCAATTACCCCTAGTGGCGTCTGGCCATGCAGGAAGTTTGGGTTTTATGAAATCTCTGTTGCCATCCCAATACAACGGGCGTTCACAGGGAGGAAATTACATTTGTCAACAGTTTTAATGAGGACTATTCTTTCTGTAAAAAGTAGTTCCAGCAGGAACCATCGACAGTAAGGTTTATGTATGATCCAGAGCAACCGGGATATTGTTTCTGGACAGACAAGTTCCTGTAAAATAAAATTTATGTTCTCGAGAAGAATATCTCAAAACCTACAATATCTGAACGGCATAATACAACGAGGGGTAAGTAGAAAAATATGTATATTGACTGATGTGACCTTTTAAGAGCCTTTAAATATTGTTTTTTTTTTTAGTGGACACATTTTGTAGTTTAAGTTCACAACACACGTGTGCAAACTCCGTCAATTCCAGAAAAAGCCAGAGGGGTGTGTGTGGTTGTGAAAGAGGGAGATAGATAGTGAGAGAGTGAGCATTTACTCTGCGAAAGAGTTGTTTACTCTCCGACGGGAGGACGGACATCCCCAAGTTATTCGGGCCAAACAATGAGCAGCCTCAGCCCCTGAGGGGATTGCTGATCCTGAGATCTACTCAGAAAATGCAGTGCGAAGCACAACCTCTGCTGGAACACTCTGGAATAAGGATCTCATTAAACTGCACAGCAGCCAGCGGCACTGCCATGGTAACGAGAGAGAGAGAGAGAGAGAGAGAGAGACAGACTACATTAGCCATAACAGGCAGAATAGTAGCTATTGATTTGGCTGATGGTCTAATTAAAACCAATAGGTGACAATCTGAGATGTAAACAGATTTGGAGAAGGTCAGGGGACTTTGTGAGAAATACCCGACCTTCAGCTTCTGGCTTAAACGTCGTTATAAGACAGAGATGCGGCATCACTCACCCTCGGCTCCGATCGACACCAGCTTCACTCCTTTGCCGGTGATGAAGTCGAGTGCTTTGTTCACATTGGAGATCTTGTGGACTCTCATCTTGCCTCTTTCTGGTTTGGCCAAGCGTTCGCCTAGACGGGAAAACACGACAGATCGAGGAAGATGGAAATGTTTGGTTTCTCATTTGAAATAAATCATTATTTGTCCTGGAATCTACAAAACATAGAATTGAAGAGAGATTGTGCCAGGGCCAAACGCATGGGGTTGAAAGCTTTTCTGGAGCACAGATTTCCTCACAACAACTAAAAGTGTTTCAACATTTCGTGACTTTACTTATTGTTTTAAATCGATTGTTTGACATTTTGGGTAATACTCTTATTCGCTTTCTTGCCGAGAGTAGGCTGAGAAGCCACTCTTAAATTTGTCTCATTTGTGGATTAAATATAACATGTTAGTGAGTTTTAAAAGGTGCTGGAAGGCATTATCTTTTTTACCTTTGGAGAGCCATGCTAGGTGTTTCCCCCTGTTTCCAGTCTTTGTGCTAAGCTAAGCTAACGGGCTGTTGGTTGTAAAAAATGTGAGCACACATCTTTAAATCTGACGCGTGTATATTCATTTCTCCAATCAATTGTTTTGGACAACTATCTAACTCTGCCCGTCATATAAAATCACCCTTGACTGTAAAGATTGCACACGTATAAATATATAAAGATGTTCTAACTTTTTACTGTTACTTTAATAAAACAGACATTAGAGAGTCGTATCAATCTTGTTTTTACTTTCAGCAAGAAAGCAAGTAAGCATGTGTCCCCAAAAATGTCAAACTCTTCCTTTAAGTCTGATCCTTATATCTAAACTCAACATGTGACAGTGCGGTTGGTCCAAACTGTCTGCAGTCGGGTAATCCTGTTAAGTAAAACGCTGTTTACCTGAGATGACCTCGAGCAGCAGCATGAGTTTCAGTCCATCCCGGAAGTCCTCCTCGATGTTATCGATCTGTGTTCCTGCTTTCCTCAGGTGAGAGTTACACCAAGCTGTAAACGTCTGTAGAGATGGAAGAGAGCGAGAACAAAACCATCAGTCACAGCACTTCATACACACATAATCATATACTGTCCGTTTCTGCAGCAGCCAGCAGTCCATGAGTCCACATGAGCCACCCAGATGTTTGCTGCGTAAGCAACTGTGATTGTGATGCCTCCGGAGTTTCTTTACGTCTTTTATTAAATTCGCACCATTTTACAATCTGTTGACAATGGCACTAGTCGAATGCATTAAACCCTGCAGGGCTAACATCGTCACAGGCAGGATAATATTTAGGTCGGCAGCAGGCTATGGAGAAGTGAGATTTTTTACCAACTGGAAGATGCAGGTTCTGTCCTTCAATGTTGAAAAACTCTAACACCTCTTCCTAACTGTACGCGATGCAAACAAGCGAACATCAGATTGTTTTAGTTTTTCCCAATGAAGATGTGCAAACCCGCTCTGTGCGTCAGCGAACATGCTTAGCGACGTGTCACTTGTTTCAAAAAACGCTCCCCCTGGCTCTGTGAGGCTGTAGGCTAAAGCTAGCATAGCAACATGCTCACATTGTCAATGCTAATGTTTATCAGGTCTAATGTTTACCATGTTCACCATCTTAGTTTAGCGTGTTCGCATGACAGCATTGCTAATTAGCCGTAAACCAAACCAAAGCATCGGACAAAGTAAAACTCTTGACGATGGCGCTCGAGGAAAAGTGAAGGGATTAAAGTTATTGCAACATGAACGTCTGAACCACATTTAATTGCAATCCAACCTGAGATATTTCAATCAAAACTACAAATGTCTACATCTTGATGGCGCTAGATGAAGAGTGAGGGGATCACCAATGTCAGTAGGGTCTATCCTCTGAGAACCATGAATGTCTAGAAGATTTCATAATAATCCAACCAAAAGATGATATTTCTGTCTGGACCAAAGTGTTGGACCGGCGAACCAACAATTGGCCATCCATTGAGTAATGCTGCTAATACATCTGTGTTTAAGCTGTCTGTAATCTCCATGTGCGTGTTTTTTGTAGCTGAACCAGACCTGCTGACTAATAAATGAGTTTCCTTCACACACTACCACCCCTTCATGAGAACTGTGATGCCAACAAGCTTACGTACTGCACTCTCTCCTTGGAGCCGCGGCACACTGGAGCATTGTGTACTGTATACAGTAGGTGTAGCAGGCCTTGGACTCTCTGGCATCGCTGGCATGCAAACACGCTAACGGAAAACATCTGGAGCAGGATCTCAACCGCCCAACAGGAGCTGGAAATGAGGAGTGGGCCCGCCATGCACCCTGCTGTGAACACTTCTTTATGAGTTCCCCGGGTTAATTACACCCAGGGCCCGAAATGGCAACCACCATGTTTCCACCAGAGAGCCGAAGGAGGACCTGCAGGAGCAGAGCCAGGCGTTTATGAAAGCCTGCACTGTCCTTCGCTGGCCTGCCTTCAACGGACGAGGGAACAAAAGCCACTTAAAAGTCACTGGTGAGCTGGTTTGGAGCACTCGTGGAACTTCTGCGATGAGATCACTCTGAGAATGGAGTGGCGTGAGGTTTACACGGCTATCAATAAACTCGAGAGCCGGTTTTTCAGATGTGTGCGAGTTCGCTGGCATGCGGTGGGAGTTTCAGCCAATGAAAAAGCCAAAGGATACTGTGAAAGATGTGGAGGGAGAAGGGCAGATTATATGGTGTTTTATCTCCAAGGGTAGAACTGACAGAAAAAGACCAGCTCTGAGGATTTATGTGCAACGGGCAGACACACGCCCGCAGACTATAAGATACTGTATTCCTCCGAGTTCAGTCATGATTTAAGTCAAGCTCCAACAAGCACTAAGATATTTCAATTAATCCTAATCAATAGACTAGAGGCTTGCCAACCATTTTAAACTGTTGAGGCAGGGCTGTGGTGTCAGCAGCTAACGTGGGTACTCTATAATTTAATCAAAGTGTTATGTTAAGGATGTTTGCTGACTCTGCAGGTTCACGTTCTCACAATGTTGAAGGTTTTTTTTTTTTTGTTATCCAGGATGTCATTTTTTGACACGTGTCAGCCCCTTTTCTTTCCCTTCCCTTTTATGGTTCACTTTCCCCACCACTTAACTTAACACCAACACCTGCAAGGAATGACAGAAGAGGAACTCAAAGTGCTGATAGGGAGTTTTGCAAATGGCAGCAAGGGGTAACTGACCTTTAATATACTGATATCCTGTTAACACGTAATCAGTAAAACGCACACAGCCAAAGAGACGCTGTAATACAATGGTGTTTTAAGTAGATAAAATGAGCACATTTTTACTTAAAACTCCTGCTTAGTGAAGCCTCAACAGGACCAGACAGCTGAATAAGTCAAAGGCTTTGAGTCAACCCCTAAATAGCACAGTTGTGAAAACGACTAAAAGTTCACAGAAGGAATGTTAGCTTGTTAAATGTGCTGGAAGGAGGGTAAGTTTGGCTGCTCTGGGGCTGGGCGACAGGCCTCCTCCTGACAAGAATTAGCCGGCCCTCCTGCAAGTTCCTCCGACTCTCTGGGTCACTGTGGAGTTTGGCAGCACAGCAGCTCACAGTGCAGGCTGGCAGCCACCTGCACCGTCACATGACCCACTGGCTGTGTTTTGGTCAACACTCACAGGCCCTTCAGGTGTTCTGGGGCTCTTGGCAGGTCACAACGCTGAGTTACCGGTCCATTGGTTGCAGCGGCAGATTAATGCATGAGCAGTCTAATCTCACTAAATCTAGAAATCTATACATTTTGTGCAAAAAAATAAAAAAAAATAAAAATAAAAAAATAAAAATAAAAAAAGAGTTTTGGGTTCTTTTATCTGATTTGGGGAAGTTAACTTTCATGCCAGCAAAGTTACCCCAAGTAGAGTTAAATATGCCAAACACATTGGTTAGTCCTCTTCCTAAAAGCCTTTTGTTTAATAAGGTTAAAGGTGAAAACATACTGTGCAAAAATACAACCAAACGACTTACACTAAAGTTGCCAAACAGTGTTAGAACAACTTAATTGGCTGATCCAACAGTATTTCATTATCAAACCTATGATAAATAAAATGCTGTTTTTATTTCCAATTTTTACGCGTGACTAATTGACTGGAGAGGACTTTTTGTCTGGCACATGCATCTTTAGCCTCATTCTTTTAGCATGTTATCACGCATGTAGCCATGAAGTCCATATTTAATATCTTTTTACAGGCTAGTTGTTTTAAAACAAGTCTTCTGTCTGGAAACAAAAACAAAAAAAATATGCGTTTTCAACCAACTCATGGAGCACGCTCTACTACAGCCTACCCCTCTTGTCTCTTTAACAGGGCTCTTGCAAATCCTTAAAATGTCTTATATTTGATTTTTTTGAATTCAAGATCATAACATTACTTTAAAAACTCTTATTGTTAATCATGGTAGGTGTTACATTTTGAGGATGTGATGCACATCACGAACAGCTGTTTGATAGTGTGCAAGTGTTTTTGAAAGCATCAGAGCAGCTTACAGACTCTTTGTTGTATAAATACAGTACTTTACTGTGTGTAGTGTGTGCCGTACGATCCCTGTGAACTCTATGTGATCGTGTTCTCCACATACAATTGGTGTCTGAGCCGTATGTGCTGTGAATCTCTGTAAGCTGTTAAAATGTCTGCTCTAGAGTCCCGGAGACCAGTTCCTGCTCATCAACAACGTGCCAGTGAGAATCATTCTCATAGCTGTGACGTAAACACAGTCTGTTTCGGCTTCAGGACAACACGTCTCGTAACGGAGCAAAGTGAAAGCACTACTGTCTGTCTGTCTGTCTGTCTGTCTGCGGGAGGAGCCGGAGGGTCGTAAATGTTGAGAGCCCCTCTGCTCTCGTCTGCCTCCTCCTTCACTCGTCTCAGCCTCCCAGAGCCGAGGCGGGCTGTAAAAACAACGGGGGTCAAGAGGCAGAGGAATCTGCTCTGCATCAAGTTTAGGGAAAGTTGCCAGTCAGCGTCATTATAGCAGCATTTCTCCCATGGCAACTACCGGACGCAAAGCTCAGCAAACAAACTACCTGAAGAGACAACTAGTGGGTTTTACTGCATTTCTATGGACAGGTTTGTCAGACTGCCATAACATATTTATTAACACATTATCATTATACCATTTAGTTGATCAAATTCCCATCACAATGTTCCAGAGGCCAAGGTGATGGAGTTCAAAACACAAATATCTAATATGCAATAATAGAAAACACAAGAAGTCTTAACATTTGAGAAGCTGAAACTGGTTGTTTGGCATTATTTAATTATCAATATAGTTAAAAGAATAGTTCAACATTTTTGGGGAAATACACTTACTCATTTTCTTGTAGAGTTCCATGAGATACCACCCATCACCACCCATGTCTGTGTGCTGAATATGAAGTGACTAAGCGACGAAGCTTATATGTCGGTGACATCTTTTATACACTGTATATTCAATATTTATGTTATTTTGTATCATATATTCTAGATTTTCTGTTTTAAATGGAAAGCAGCTTGTTTTTGTATTGCTGTGGTTCTGATAGAGATGAAATTTGAACTTTATCTTAACAGATTTCCCACCATGACATGCGACACGTTTAAAAACCCAAGATATAGCTAGAAAGTGAACTAATCGTGAAATTAAACATCGACTGTCGGCACAAGTTATTACACAGATTAAAAATGGGTAAAGTAAACTTCCTCTGCACTGAACCACCTAATCTGAATAAATTCTGATAATGAAAACAGCTTCCTGACACGTAAAAGGAGCCTTAAACCCATCACATACAGTTTTCTTCTGTTAAAACTCTCCTGTTCCTTTCCCCCACCTCTCACTCAGCTCCCAGCCTCCCCACTCCCCACTCCATTAATCAACCTCAGCTAGGAAAATATTTCCTGCTTCTCTGCCAGGTCCATATTAGTACAATCCTTTAACTGAAACAAGCCAGCTCATGAGTGTGAGTCCCTGCCATATCCGAACACACGGGCAGGCCGACAAGTCTAAGGCCGGGAGGAAAAGCAGATACT